GTGTTTCCTTTCTGGCTTTAATTAAATTATTATGAAGAGAATTATAGAGAGAATGATAATTATATATTATTATGAATTATTATAGAGAGAATGATAACATAATCAAGATGCTGACAGCATCTTGATTATGTTATCATTCACTCTACAAATTACATGTCCTATCATTTTAGTTGTTTTAGTAATTTTGCCGATGCATTACTTATTGGGTTGGTGCATAATTATCAGGCGTTTTTTTAACAATATTTATCATGAAAAAAGAAACATGATTCAACAGTAACATTTTTAAATGATTATTCCGGAACGTATGATTATCGACATGCATTTTTATAACTTGGAAATGAAATATTTTTATTTTAAAAAAGTAAAAAAAAAACAAAAAAAACAGCAATTTTTATTAACAAATAATTCGCCTAGAAAAACGCCTGATAATTATGCACCAACCCAATACAAAACAAAAACAAACAAAAAAAAACTATAGAACATTTAGATTTTTGGAGTATTAAATTTCAACCTTAAAACATTTACATACAATACGCACTTTTCATAAATTTTGTCTTTTCGTTATCTTTCCTAATCTTCCAACCGTTTACACAAACACGTTTAGGTAGATTACGGGTTGCTTTTCCTTTTTCCTTCTTGCCTCCAATATTTCTTGTCAAATTTTCTAAACTCTCTTTCTTCATTATTTTCCCCCACCCTTATCTGTTTTTTTTTTATATTATATACAAGTATGTTGTTTTGTATCCTTTTTAACTAAAACAGCTCCATTCACGATGAAATTCAGAAGTTTCGAAATTTTTTCAGAAGAGACATTTATTTACTTCAAAGCAATAAAAAAAAAACAAAAAAAACAACAACACTAATCTCCTTCAAAGAATAACCCTCTGACTTCAATGAAATTGTTATAGCGATCCAGACATTTTTTTGAATGACCCCTCGTAGCCCTCCGAAGCGAAGTTTTCGGTTAGATGGTTGGCTGGTTGATTTTGTTTATCGGCACGTCAACTTCTATAGGTTATTTAATGTCGAAATCTAAATATTTTGAACGCAATTTTATGCCTTCAACGAGAGATATTTTGTACATAATTGTATAATCTCAGGAAAAAAAAAGTATATTTTTTAGATATATAGATTGTTGATAATAAAATATATTGTTGGTAATTGTTTTAAAAACGTATTTCAGGTAATATAACAAGTAAAATGTATTTTCATACTTTTTTTAGTGTTGTATGGATTGTCATTTTCCTACAGTTTTTAGTGTTGCACGAATTGTCAATTTGGTCATTTTGGTCACTTTGGTATAAAATGTATTGTTGGTCATTTTATATAAGAATGTATTATTGCTCAATTTACTATAAAAATGTACTGTTCATTTTTTGTTTAGGTGTTCCTATTTGACCATAGCTAGGAACTCGAACAGGTGCTACAAGCCCAGGTCATCGTGAACCTGGGAACAGGAGCAATTAAGATGTGGTTCCACGCTCCCAAATCCTTCAATCTCCCGATTAGAGGCCTTACTGTTGGACGTAAATGCTGTCCCAATAAACTGGACCGATTTTAAATGTAAATTAAGGTTAAACATCTAATGATTTTTTTCTTTTTCTATCAGATTTAAAATCTTAAGTCTTTGGTAATTTCAACCAACAAACAGCGTGTTAAAGTTATCAAAGCCTATTACGAAAATGGACGTTCAAACAGAAATGCATTTCATGCATTTGGCGATATTTTATTTTTTTTGGTCAACATAATCGAACAAACGATAGGGAAATTAAAAACGATGTAACGTTGTTGTGGAGGGGGTCAATTCCCGCGATCGGTGACAAATAGAGGGGCCTGGATTTTCGGCCACATTCTCGTGCACTGCAGCAGTGTTTTTAGCTGAACTACTTAAACGAGCACGCAATGGTGTTTTCATATCTACTAATTCATGGGACGTTTAAACTTAATCCACAAATTCACATTAATTATCGGTCCAAGTTATTGGAACATTTATATATATATATATATATATATATATATATATATATATATATATATATATATATATACTAGCAGCATGGCCCGGCGTTGCCTGTGCTTGATTCAAAAATCGTACGACTCATACACCAATCGTTATCACTTGACTTAAAATATTTTTGCCCTTCCTTGCCTTTAAAGGAGTGCCTTTTGCTGTGCTGATGTTGCTACATGCCTTACTTCTTGCCTATCTCACACTGCGAATTTTTTCTAAGCTCTATACTAAACATTAAATCTGTTACGAAAAAAGAACTAAGCAAAATGAACACAAAACGATCAGCTTTAAAAAAGGACTCGGAACTGGAAAAACCGAATGAAAAAAGAATGTTAACAACAAATACTTTTTCTCACCCAATCCAGTTCTGCGAAATCAGAATCAACGTTGATTTTAAGCAAGCGAATGAGCCAATTGGAATAAATTGCCATACAGATTTAAATTTTTCCCACTTGTGACGAACGTAGCTATCGATTTTTTTTTTTGCATGCTAAAGGGAAAGGGATTGAGGCTGGTCTTCACTAACCATTCGTGTCAGTCAGCTGTTGGCTCTCACGCTGGCCAATAGAATCTTCCTGTCTATTCGTGGCAGCCAGCTATAGGCTCTCACTCTGGCCAGTAGAAAATGGCCGCAAACAACATGAAAACTGCCGTTGAAGCATGAAAAAATCGATTATTTCCACTATCGATGGGAGTTGGAAATTGCAATGTCAGTCTTGGCCTTTCCGCTAACTTGGAGCATGTGCATGTAAATTTTGGTGCAAATCCATCTAAAATTGCGGCCGTGCATTCGTTACACACACACACACACACACACACACACACAGACAGACAGACAGACAGACACACATCCTGCCTTTTTATATATATATATATATATATATATATATATATATATATATATATATATATAACCCTTAAAAATCGCAAAGTGCGCGAAATGCATTTCTGTTTGAAATTCCATTTTTGTAATAGGCTTCGATAACTTTGATTGTTAATCTTTCCATGGTTGAAATTGCCAAAGACTTAAGATGTCAAATCTGAAAGAAAAAGAAAAAAATCATTAACGTAATCACATTTAAAATCAGTCCAAATTATTCGAACAATCTTTAGCTTATCGTCTTGCCTAGGCCGTTCCAAGGTCCACATCACAGCCTCTTTTATCTTATCTACCTATTGAAAATGTTAATACCTAGGCAAAATTGGTTTCGGCAAAAACAGAAACCTATGTATGAACTTCCTTAAAACTAAATGTCATTACTGTCGTCTTAGGACAAACGGCAAGTAGTTTTTGTCCAAATAAGTTTTATAAGTCTACCATTCGTCCTTGTTTTGAATATTGATATTTATTGTATTTAAAATACAATTACGGCACGTGGCCAGAGGGAAAGGGGTTCAGGTTGGTCTTCACTGACTATCTTATACCTAGCGAATCCGATTCACGACCCATTCACTCATTAAAATTTTCTCATTCACCACAAGAACTCGTCCATCACCAATCAATCTACCATACACCATAATACCGCATCCTCTCAGGTGGTCCTACAAAACGCGTCTCATACCATAAAAATATAATGATTATATATGTGTATTTAAAAATTTATGGATGAATAAAATGAGAGGGGAGGGAGATGAACCCAATAACAAACTAAATTGTTAGCACAAAACAAACTAAACGTAACTGATGTTAGTAGGGCCAGTACAACCCTTAAAATGAGAGGCGGCTGTATTCTGCCCATGGGACAAAATCAAGAAGCTCTCTCGCTAAGGGAATTGGAAAGGAGAAAATATAGCCTTGCTTTGAATATTGTTGCCACATATGGTCTAGTGCTCCTGCTGTATATTTAGGGATTCTTGATAAAAATCCAAAGAAAAAAAAATCCTAAATGTTATATTGGTTTCAGTCAGTCATCCACCATCGTAACTTACCTGCGCTTTTTCTATAAATACAATCATGATAATTGTTCACATAAACTTCCCTCTATGGTACCTTGACTTTATGAATTTAAACGCAGTACTAGATTGGCAACAAGGCCTCATCGATTTACTGTCTATTTGAACAGATGTAACCAGTGGCGTAGCTAAGGGGGGCGGACCGCCCCGGGTGCCAGCACAGGAGGGGTGACACAATGTCACCGCCAACAAAATTTTTCAGCCAGGCTAAGGTGCCAAAAATAGTCTGAAAACAGTGGTGGAGACACAGGGTTTCGCAGGCGGGCATATGACCCCCAGAAATGATTTATGACCCCCCAGTTTTGTCCCCTCGTCAGAAATTTTCTAATAAATTGTCGGGAAATTTGTGAGTAGGAACAATAGCATTGCTTTCAGCTTTTGATTTGAGCTGATTATTTTGTGGTATTGGATTTTGTCTTGGATCATACATGTAAACAGTAACGTACCGGTCAGTAGAGTAAAGTAGAGGTAGAGCATGTATGAAAATTTAGCTACAGCTAACCATTCAGCATAGGGTGAATCGGGGTCATTGGGGTGACATTTGAGAGGACCGCCCCGGGTGACGTTTACTCTAGCTACGACACTGGATGTAACCGTAAATTATATGCTTACAGTATTTTCTAGCTTGCGAAAACCACTTCCGGCTTCTTGCTTTCCAGCCAACTTTGATCTTCAAAAATTTAAATGCAATGTCAATCGTTATCTTCTCTCTTCTTAATTTCTGTTCTTTTATTGTTCTCTCTCCTTAAGAATGGTTTTCTTAGTTTTTTTTTTCACACTCAGTAATCCCCTGTGTCTTAGGGACATCAATGCCTTGCTTGGGGCGAAATGATTGCAAAAACTTTTTAAGATTCTTTAAATAATTTCCAGCTTGTGTAGCCAAACAACAGCTTAATAGAATTAAATATTTATGTAAGCTTGTTAAAATCACAGAGAAGCTTTAGAGTATAAGATCCTTCATTCACTCTAATTCTTGCAGTGTTGGGAAATTAGAAAGAAAAAAGAAACTCCACCACTCTACACTCAGTGTATAAACATGTCCGTTTGCAAGGGGAGCTGCCTAAACATGGCAGCAAACGCCCGACATTCGACAAATGTATGTTTCTATTCGGACATTACCTAGTAATACCTCAGGGAATTGTTTAAACGTGGGAAAATGTTTTCTTCATCTCGGCAGATGTATTCTAATAGCATTTCTTGCTTTTCTCTGGGGAAAGCTGAGCGAATATGAATACGTAATCCGGCAAATAGATTTCACCTGTTGATTCCAAAAAAAGAACGTTGTTTATTTGTCTATCCTTTTTGCTGAAAGAAATTTGTTTCCGAAGGGAACCTCTTCTCTGTTGCTATGGCTATCATTCGCTTACCTTCATGGGATTACTCACTAGACAACGCTTACATTGGCACAAGGCCAGGCACGTGAGCGAATACGTTTATCGAAATTTTAAGGGTTTATTTATCTTAAAAGAAAAAGAAAACAAAGTTTCGAATTCCTGTTTTTTTTTTTTATTTGAGCTCACGCTTCTATGTCCGTGTTTATGCAGGTGCAGGCGTCTATGTGTGGAAGTGGCGTAACCGTTTGGTTTGTTTTCCGGCATATCAACCGCAATAGGCAGTAAGTAATTGCTGGTCTTTCCAGGTTCATCCTGCCCCGGGGTGATAGCACCTATTAAGGTCCTAGCTATGGGCAAAGAGTTAAATGGATTCCTACCGTTTACAAAGTTAATGGCGCGAAAGTGAACGCAACGAACTCGGTCAGAACTTTGTTCACTATTTTCTTTTTCCGTGTCGCTAACAGTTACGCCCCGTCCTGGGTAAGACGATAAACTACGTCCAGCAGCAAGATCTCTGATCAGGAGGTTTTGAAAAGCGTGGAACCACCTCTTAATTGCTGGTCTTTTCAGGTTCATCCTGCCCCGGGGTGATAGCACCTATTTGGGTCCCAGCTAACCCCAAACTGGGAAAAAAACATAATGAAAGTGTAAAAATAGGTTTTAATAACAGCAATAATTTTTTTTGTTAAAATATTACTAGCTATGAATTTTTTAAGGAAAAATATTACCAGCCATACATTTTTGAAGAAATAAATATTACCAGCAATACAATTTTGAAAAAAAATACTACGAGTCATACATTTTTGAAAAAATTCTACCAGCTATATATTTTTGAAGAAAAAATATTACCAGCAATACAATTTTGAAAAAAAAATACTACCAGCCATACATTTTGAAAAAAAATACTACCAGCCATACATTTTTGAAAAAATTCTACCAGCCATACATTTTTGAAAAAATTCTACCAGCTATATATTTTTGAAGAAAAAATATTACCAGCAATACAATTTTGAAAAAAATATCACCAGCAATACATATTTGGAAAAAATATTACCAGCAATACATTTTGGAAAAAAAATACTACCAGCAATACATTTTTGAAGAAAAAATATTACCAGCAATACATTTTTGAAGAAGAAAAAACATTATTAGCAGCAATACATTCTTGATAAAACATATTACTCGCAATAAAAATCTTATAGTCACTAAATAACCCGTTGAGGTTGATATGTCGTAAAACAAAACAAAACAAATCAAACCAAATTACTCAGAGCCTCTGTCTTTCTCTTTCTCCTACTTCTCCTCCTCCTGCTTCTTCTTCTTCTTCTTCTTCTTCTTCTTCTTCTTCTTCTATATACCGTGTCCCGCGTAGACAATGATGGCTCTCTCTTATTCCCTGTCCGTTGTAACTTTTAGTAAATTCTATCGCGACTCTCCTATTTTGCGATCTCTCCGAATCCCTGTTCTGCCAACCATTTACACAAGCTCATTATGTTATGCGCTGCTCTCCTCTGTCATTCTTGCCTTCAATATACCGTTTGAGTGTCAGATTTTCTAAGCCTTCTTTCCTCATTATATGCCATGGAAGTTTCAACTGTCTATTTCTGATGTTATGTATAGTTTTTTTTGTTTCCATTTACTCTAAAACCTTATCTTTGCTCATATGTTCAGTCTAAGGTATTCTCAGCATCCCTCTGTAGAACCATATTTCGAGTGCTTCAAGTCTTTTTTTTTTTTTGCATGTGGGGAGGCTGTTCAGCATTCGCTGCCATAAAAGGGGGATTGAAATTATTTTCTTAATAATTTGACTTGTCCTAAATATGTTACCTGTGATTTTAATATTCGTCACGTCTTTGTCCCCATTTTCTTTAAAACGTCCTAATTGATCATATGATCAGAACATGGTATTCTCTGTATCAGTTCATAGAACGAAATCACTGTCGCTTCGAAGCTTTTCGTAATCTGTATGAAATTAGGTCAGCATTCACTGCCAGGATATAGGAGGATGAATATATTCAACATTCCTTTTTTTTTACTTTTTGCTTTGAACAAATCTTACCATCATTCATATCAGACTACTTACCCGTCTTTTAAACAGCTGAAATTTTGAACTCTCATATTCATCTTTTTATCTTAAACATAAATGACTTCAGCGAACAAAGAAAACAAAGGAATTGGCCTTGCCGTTCCAATACTTTTGAAAGGAACTGTGTGCATATATATATATATATATATATATATATATATATATATATTAGGACATACTAAAAACATTTTATTACAACTAAGAAGGGATATATAAATTTTTTTTGTGATGTTTCATTTCACCGGACGTGGATCGCACTGAAGAATTACATCAGACACTGTGTGTTCTACCTAGCGAGCAACAAACTTCTTTCTTTTTTTATCTCTGTACACATCTGTTCACATCTATCTATCTATCTATCTATCTATCTATCTATCTATCTATCTATCTATCTCAGTATGCCATATCTATCTATCTCAGTATGCCATATCTATCTATCTATCTATCTATCTATCTATCTATCTATCTATCTATATATCTATCTCAGTATGTCATATCATATCTATCTATCTATCTATCTATCTATCTATCTATCTATCTCAGTATGTCATATCTGTCTATCTATGTCAGTATATCATATCTATTTATCTATCTATCTGTCTATCTATCTCAGTATGGCATATCTGTCTATGTCAGTATATCATATGATATCTATCTATCTATCTATCTATCTATCTATCTATCTATCTATCTATCTATCTATCTCAGTATGTCATATCTATCTATCTATCTCTCTCTATCTATTTATCTATCTCAATATGTCATATCTGTCTATGTCAGTATATCATATTTATCTATCTATCTATCTATCTATCTATCTATCTATCTATCTACCAATCTATCTCATTATGTCATATCTATCTATCTATCTATCTATCTATCTATCTATTTATCTATCTATCTATCTCAGTAAGTCATATCTGTCTATTTATGACAGTATATCATATCATATCTATCTATCTATCTATCTTTCTCAGTATGTTATATCTGTCTATCTATGTCAATATATCATATCATATCTATCTATCTATCTATCTATCTATCTATCTATCTATCTATCTGTCTGTCTGTCTGTCTATCTGTCTGTCTGTCTGTGCACCCGCCCGCGTGCATGTACGTGTGTTTCTATCCCAGGCGTGTTATTTCTTTTGCCCAATATTTTTCCTGTCTCAGATCAATATACAAAGGCGCCGTGAAGTCCTACTCATTGCAAGTGCCAATCAGCGAATTTTACACGTCCTAATAACATATCCATATTTACCGTATATTGTTTTACTTTCTTTTCTTTTTTTGGATCTTTTTCGCCCACGAGAAAGGAACCGATTATTTTACATGCAGCGATGTGGGGACCAGATAGGAAATCACCGGCTGACCTTTAACCTCTTATGTCGCAAAGGTCGCTATTTACGCGTGGCCAGAATGAAAAATAAAATAAAATAAAACAAAATAAAATATTAAGCGAAACAAATGTTTGATTTACATATGCAAAGGGAAGCTAGAAAGAAACAGGCCAAAAAGTGTCTAGCCAAGGAGAGAACGACTCACTTCATACGATATGACTACGTAGAAGCAAATAAAACATCCTCTGAAACACTGTGTATCGCTCTCCAAAGACTGAAAAAAACCCTCGATTTTAGAAGTACTCTTGTAAATAACGAGACCTAAGTTCAGCTTTTCACTGACCGGGGAATGGCACCCACCACCACCACCACGTTGTGTTTCCATTTACATCCGCCTCACAGAGTACCAAAAATAGAGAAGTTCTTAGCTGGACAGAGAAGTTCTTATCTGACTTCCGACGTCTGTCGAACTCTCTGCGTTAGCAGAGAGGAACCCGGACGAAGCTTTGCCGAAGGGAAAGGTTTCGTCCGGGGAGGTAGACAGGGCCTGAACCCGTCTAGGCGGGTTCAAGGGCTATATTTTTGGCCGAGCCTACGGGCTCGGATCCAACCCACATTAAACTCGGCCTTGTGCCATATTCAATCCTCTGGGGGGATCGATAAACACTCAGAGTACCAAAAACTGGCATAGACCCCGCTACACGTTGACAAGGAAACAAAACAAACGCCACGTCTGTGAAATGTAAACACGAACCCTGTTTTCAAACACATAAAACAGATGTTTTGCTCAGGGTTTCACTTGCTCGATCGGGGTAGATAGGCACGTGACACTTGTGACAACCTCTGCCATCTATTCTCTATATCTCTATCCTCTGTCCATCAACTCATCACGGCATATGGCTGGCAATACGAAAAACAGGCAGTGGCATTGGAACTATACGAAGGACAGTCTGTTTCCCGTCAAGTGTAGACTAGATCTGACCTCCCCGAATTCAACCTTGACTTAACATAGACTAGCAACAAGAAACTCTCTTTTTTCCGGTTTTGCTGTCCTCAGCTATTCATTTATTCTTCCATTCCCCTTCAGCCAAGTGGGTGGCGTTTAGAAGATTCGACTTCAAAGACACCGTTTTCCTCTTATACGTGGATGTATCAATTATAGTGTCATATGAATATTAAATTCCAGAATATTTGTTGGAAGCTAATTGTCTTCATACGATAAAATTGTGAATAAAAACAGTATAACATTATGAAATCTTTTCAAGAATTGTTTCATTCTCCAGCTAGACATTTAAAATTAAATTTTATTTTTTCGAAGTTCGAACGAAAAAAGAAAATACAAAATTAATGGACAATAATTCAAAATACTTAGAAAAAAGAAAAAAAATAGGATTGTTTTGCGCAACATACACTTGTTATAATTGTACTTTTTTTATATTCTTAAAAACGTGATATGTGATTTAACTGGCATCACAGGAGCCAAATATCACAATAATCAACAGATATTGCATATCAGCAAAACAAGTGACACCTGATGATGACCATAGGGTACTTGGTAGAAACAGTGGGTCTATAGTAACATCTATATTAACCACTATGAGAAAATAACGAAATTATGAAATAGCGGTATGAATCCGCCATTGTAGCCAAATGTCAAAACTAACTGACATTAAATATAAAAGGCTCCAAAGCACATCACTAATATTGAGTTGGTCGTTATTTTCGTCTAGTGGACATGAGATCAGTCCTTTGGAGCAGGTAGGGACATAACAATTCATCAGGAACGAAAAATAACTGACATCACTGACATAAAACAATAATCAGCAATATATCCCATATCAGCCAATCATAGGACATCTGATGGTGACCAGAGTGTACATGGTCGAAATGTTGTGCCTATAATAACATCTGTATCAATCAAGATGACAACAATAGTTCAGAATAATACAAAAATTGGACAATTATGGTTTAACTTCTTTTTTCTTTACTTTGAATTATTCCAGAATCAAAATTTAATAACCTGTTTGGATGCTGAGCTCGATCAAGAAATATTTTTAAAAAAATTATGGTATATCTGTCCTGTCAATGATAGATAAACATTTAAAATTATATTGTTGCCTAAACAGATTATTTTACAAAAGTTGGTAAACTGAGGCTTTTGTGTGATTGAGTTGTGTGTTTACAGCTTATCAACGTTTTCCGGGTTAAGTTGAAACATATTTTGGAATAATTCTTTAAAATTAACAAGCCATTCCTTGCCCCAATTAACAACAGAGAGTAGATCATTTTTTAAAAATCAACTGTTTATATTTTTTATTCAAGCTGTCGTGATTGTTGTACGGATTCTCCTGACTCTCCTGTTTTCACAGACATTCTTTTCGGCTTTTAGATTCTCTTTTTTCCATCCTGTTTTGTTCCATCATTGTGGAATATCCTTTGTAAAAGGATGACCTATATTAGTGCGTCCATGTTTTGGTGACCTAAAATGCACATCATTGAGCTGTTCACTGTCTTTTCTCTGGAGATGCTTTGCAAAATATTCATTCTCAGGTGACCTGGAATTGTTAATCGGAGAGCCGAGATCCAATTCCAGTTGGTTTCGTTATATTCACTTACGCGTAAATAACGTTGGAGAAGGCATGAAACCACCTCTTCTCGTCCCACAGCTATGGGTTAATTTGTAAGGTTTGTATCTGTAAAATCAGTATTATCCCAAAAGAAATTATTACAATCTAAAAAACATTTTATATCTTCAAATAACCTGCAAAATCATTAAAAATAAAAAATGGGTTGTTGAACTGTAAAAAAAAAATCAATCAAATCAATCTAGTGTCATGAACGTATAAATCTTTACAATAACTTTTTGTATCACTAAACCATTATTATGTTGAAAACAAACAAAAGATTTTACAATGTAAAAATATGTTCTGGCTTTAAATAACCAGCAATGTGTTAATAAACGAATTAACCAAACTAAATAACATGACATGTGAGATGTGATGTTTTAGGTGTAGAGATGGGTTTTTATTTTTATTTTTGTTTCTTTGATTGTGGTGCTGCCTCGGGGATAGACTTTTGAATATATGTGTTCTGAAAATATGAAAAATGCTTTGTCACTAAGACAAAACCTATCATAGCTGTCGGCTTCAGGTCAAGCTGGTTGCACGGATTCTCGTGACTCTTTCTCTTCAGGTTTTACATTCATTGCACTTAGCAGGAGTTCTACTTAGTATCTACATGTTAGTATCATACATGTTGAAAGTACTTTTTGAAAGGATGCCATACATTGGTACGTCCATCTTTTGGTTCCCATTGCTGACCAGCTCATCTTTATTTCTCCATTTTTTAAATTATTGGAACATTTTTTATTTGATCAAAGTATCTCTAAACAAAAACAATTTTTTTATTTCTTTTTTGTTATCCTCTGCCAGCCACAATGATGACGAAAGCATTACCTCGCGACATCGTCAGTGAGACACGCTGCAAGAGCGACTCCGTTTCGTGAGGCCCGTCCCTTAATCGAGACACAATCCCGCCAACCCTCCGAAGGAACGGCATGGAATAAATTGTGTTATTTCTCAGAAAACCTGTGAGATGTGAGAAGGGCAAAGTTTCGTCCGGGTTCCTCTCCGCCTCGGCGGAGAGTTTGACAGCCGAACGGGCTGTTATATTTAACAGTCTCCTCACGAGGATTGTATGTGTCACAAGGCCGAGTTTAAGGTGCCTTTCTCCGAGCCAGTAGGCTCGGCTAAAAATATTCCCTTAGAACTCGTATAAGCGGGTTTAGGATCGGTCTACCTCCGCAGACGAAACTTTGCCCTTCAGCAAAGTTTCGTCCGTGTTCCTCTCCGCCTCGGCCGAGAGTTTGACAGCCAACCAGGCTGTGGCACCGTTCTCCTCTACAAAGAGTCCAACACAGACTCATTATAGGTAGTACACTATATTTTTTTCTGAAAATGTATGACTGATAATATTTTTTCCTCGCAAACGTATTGCTGGTAATATTTTTTTTCTTCTTCAAAAATGTAATACTGGTAATATTTTTTCTTGAAAAATGCATTCCTGGAAATATTTCTTCCTTCAAAAATGTATTTCTGGTGATATTTTTTCTTCAGAAATAGTAATAGTTTTTCTTGGAAAATGTACTCCTGGTAATATCTTTTCTTCAAAAATGTATTGCTAGTAATAATTTTTCACAGAAATGTATTGCTGGTATTAAAACCTATTTTTACACTTTTATAGTGTTTTGACACCTTGCTGTTGGGCGTAGTTTATCGACTTACCGAGGACGCGAATGTAGTTTATCGTCTTACCCAGTTCGCAGGCGTAGTTTATCGTCTTACCCAAGATGCGGGCGTAGTTTATCGTCTTACCCAGGACGTGGATGTAGTTTGTCGTCTTATCCAGGTCGCGGACGTAGTTTATCGTCTTACCCAGAATGCGGACGTTGTTTATCGTCTTACCCAGGACACGGATGTAGTCATGCTCAACACGGTTCTGTTCAAAGTCTTTCTTAATATTATGATGAATAACCTCCGGCCAGATTTTCCTCGTCATTTTGAATATTGTTGGGCCCTTCTTCACTGTGTTCTTGATGTAAACTTTGCACCTAAATGTGCGCTTGCTATATAGATTCTGTGGGTATTTAAGAAAAAACAGAAAATCTGCTTGAGCAGAAATCTGCAACAAGGATTAGTTGGTTATCCTCGGAGACATCATAACTGACGGATACTTACTTATATTTCAATGCTTTATACTTGTTGGTTTATTTACGAATAATCTCATATATATTCGTTTCCTTTCACGAACAGAGCTAATAAATTAATAAACCTTTTAAAGAAGGGAGATTTAATATTTCAGATTCAAGGAGACTATTAGCAAAAGGTAGCCAAGCACAAACTCTAACTAAATAGAGAAAAAAAATTATTGTCTAAAAAATCACAAGTAAATGGACATTTAAACAAGAAGCATCGAACAAACAAACATACAACGATGCAAAAATCTTCAATGAATCATTCCGCTCGGCTATAAGAGTGAATTAATCAAAAACTTGTTTGCAGTATGCAGACCAGGAGGTGGGGACAGTGGCTTGAATCGTGGAGTCGCGTGTTTCAAGAGGGGCGGCCCGGTGGCTGGTCCAGTGAAAGAAATCGCCAAATCCACTGAAAAGCGGGCTTTATTTACGACTTGTCAGCTAAAAGCTATAAAATAGTAATTAGATATCCAAGTATTTACTTCGGATTCGATACGAAAAAGTCATAGATAAATTTAGTTTTCGTTTTATTGTGCAGAGGAGTAGATATATGTGTACAAGTACGTAAAGAGACTGATCGATAGATGGTTAAATCGATCAGTTAGTACATAGACTTTGTGTATGTGGCTAAACTAAAGTTTTAATCTGTGTGACACAAAAAATGATCTATCTATCTACCTACCTATTTAATTCTGTTCGTATCTATCTAAGTATCTATCACAGTCTTTTAACATCAATCTATTACAGTCTGTTAATATTAATCTCAGTCTGTTAATATCTATCAATATATCTATCTCAGTCTGTTAATATCTATCTATCTATCTATCTATCTATTTATCTATCTATCTATCTATCTAAGTCTGTTAATATCTATCTATCTCAGTCTGTTAATATCTATCAATATATCTATCTCAGTCTGTTAATATGTATCTATCTATCTAAGTCTGTTAATATCTATCTATCTATCTATCTATCTATCTATCTATCTCAGTCTGTTAATATCTATCAATATATCTATCTCAGTCTGTTAATATGTATCTATCTATCTGTTAATATATATCTATCTCAGTCTGTTAATATCTATCTATCTATCTATCTATCTATCTATCTATCTATCTATCTATCTATCTCAGTCTGTTAATATCTATCTATCTATCTATCTATCTATCTATCTATCTATCTATCTATCTATCTATCTAAATAGATTGTTCATTTTTTTCACCTGCCAAATCACCTTGCGTTTCGCACATCTTTCGAAAATCCCTCCAGCCCGAAATGAATAATTTTCTTAATGTACACGCACGCAGACACAAACACTCAGACGCACACACATACATACACATATTAGCCAAGATTAAAATGCCATAATCTCTTTAATATACTGTATTCTTACGACATAGTTCAACTAGTAAATATGCGTGTATAATCACGAGCCCGAGTGGTTAGAAGTTTCTCTTTCGGTCCATGAGACATACGTTCGATTTGTCAGTTATGTACCTTCTTGATGCCATCGATCTGAGGAGTCGATCCCAGGGGCACTGTTGGGAAGGGCCTGACCCAAGCCTTGTGAATTAAATTAAATAGATCTTTTCTCCGCTCATTGCAAGTTTCTGTGAAGGTAAGTTCTAGCGGTTTGTATATAGAAACTTGCTGCATAACGTGTCTTGAATAACTTCTGTTTGAGTGAGGATCTTTGAGGTTAGCCCTGCTTAGACAGACACGACCATTTTCATTACACGTTAAATCATACTCTGTGCCAAAATTCTGAAGGCGATTAGCATCAATGACATTATGAACGTTTCTCTTGAAACTGCTTAACATTCAATCTGGAAGCTCCAATATGAACATTTAATAGCATTTGGGTGTAATCTGAGGACAGTGCAGAGGATTCAGAAAGAGCTGGATGAGTCTAATGGTGATTACGAATGTACGGCAGCTAGGAAAAATCACGCTGATCGTTCTGAAAAGAAAACTCTAGAATTTGTTGGTGTGGTCCTCAGACTCAACACGGAGGCCTACATCAAGTGCCTTGTTGAGGTTGTGCTTACCTGGGTCAAGAGAGTGGATGCTGAAAGACTCTGTGTCTAGCAACAGGACTCTGCACCATGTCATACAAGCAGGAGACCCCCAGACATTGCTGTCAGACTATTTCTGCGACCACATCACCACTTACATCTGTCCACCTAACTCCACAGACTGCAACCCCCTTGATTATTAAGGTGTGTGGGGCAACTGACAAGCGACCAACAGTACTCCAAAACGGAACTGAAAGCAACGGTTATGGTAGAATTCACCAACTTAAAGAAAGAGATCGTCCAGAAGAGATGCGGGAGATTCCGAAGTTGTCTGGAAGCCGTGGGTAAAGGAAATGGCGATTTTATTGAATAAATTTACTCTGTACTATTTAAAGATATTTTGTATAACTTTGGTAAATATATCTGTTAAAATGAGATGTCAGTGTTATTTTCATTTTTGTATAATTTAGACGACAATTTATCTATCTATCTATCTATCTATCTATCTATCTATCTATCTATCTATCTATCTATATACATATATATATATATATATATATATATATATATATATATATATATATAGAGAGAGAGAGAGAGAGAGAGAGAAAGACAGACAGATAGATAGATAAATAGATAGATACAATGGAGTTACACAGAGAGGATTAGTTATTTCGAGAGAGAGAGAAATGTTTAAAATCAATCTGTTTATTCTCGCCTTCGAACAAACACCAGCGTGAACATGTTCAGTTTCAAATGCGAAAATATGCACACACAAACGCGCAGGCACACGCCCGTAATGACTCTCCACACACACATATGTATATATATATATATCCATATCTATATCTATCTATCTATCTATCTATCTATATATATATATATATATATATATATATATATATATATATATAGCATTTATAGTAATAAGAAATATCGTATTAGAAATAAAAGTGAACATTGAAGTCAACACATAGAGTCGACAGTGTGTTTCATACTAGATGCAATCGTCAGGCCACGAGGGGTGTTTTTTTTTCTCTCGGTTATTTCCCGATAAATTAACCTTTAGAAAAAAACGTGTAACAATAATCAATCCAAATAAATAAATGAAGGAATAAACAAATTAAAAACTTCTACCGCTAAAATAATAGTTAGAATAAACTACAACAAACAACCCCAAAATGGAATAAATAGCTTTAATTATTTTCCCAAACCAAAACAAAACTATTAAATAAGTGATATAAACATTTTTTACTACGTTAACAAAACACCGATTCAAATTATAATAAATTAATAAATAAAGACAAGAAATAAAATAAAAAAATAAAAACAAGCAAAATAATTTAACCCAAATAAATAAATAAATAAACAAATAAACGACTTCCGGCAAAATAACCGCCAAAATAGACTACCCACAATGCACCACTGACCCGTATATATAAATAGCCGAGAAAAAAAATCACTCGTGGCCTGACGATTGCGTCAACCATGAAACAGACTGTCGCCTCTAAGTGTTGCCTTCAATGTTCAATTTACATTTATATATATATATATATATATATATATATATATATATATATATATATATATATAGTTTATGAAAAACTAGGTAATCCGTATGGGTAAACCTAAGAAGGATTAAATCCAGATAGCTCAATGTAAATCCAGAGCAAATAAAAACTGACCACTTTAAGGATCCATGTAATAAATTATTTCACCACAGCCCTTTTAAAAGGACTGCGGATCATCAGACTTTACTTCCAAACAAAAAATGAAAAGAAAGTTTACACATTTTTGACGGGCCGTATTAAACATATGTAAATTAACGAAGTGAGGAAGTGAGGGGGGAGAGAAGACATGAGTGAGTTAGCAGATAGTGACACATTTAAACGGTTAACTTAACGGAAGTTATATATTGATATCGAAGGGGTAGAGAAGAAAAACCCATAAAGAGAAAAAGAGGGAAGAAAGTTATTAGAGAAGATGTCACTAACTTTCATTGTAAAAAAAGCTAGAAACAGACGCTGTTATTTTGCTTTACTTTGAAAGTGTTATTTTGGGGGTTCATAAAGATTATAATGTTTGATATAAATTTGATTGTCTCTAGACTGTCTACAAATAATTTAATTTGATGTTTGTTAGTGATTTAAATTTTATTAAAATTTTGGGGATTTTCTATGAAATAGTCGATTAGATAAATATTCATAGAAAGTACATTAAAAGAATAAAATTGTATTTCAAAATATAAGTTTACTTCTAGTAATCATTTTTTTTAATCTCTTTAAAAAAATTTATTATTGATTATTAAGTTGACATCTCTATCCGTTTGAATTTTGTTCATAAATTTAACTCGTGACTATTTCTAGTTAGGTAATCTCTTTTACTTAAATTTTTAAGTTAATATGGGGCTAATATATATATATATATATATATATATATATATATATATATATATATATATATATATATATATATATTTAATTCGATTACATTCCTTTTTGAATATATATTATATATATATACTTTATATATATATATATATATATATATATATATATATAGAGAGAGAGAGAGAGAGCCTGTTTCATGCTAAACACATTCGACAGGGCTGATGGTTGCGTCTAGTATGAAACAGTTTGTCGCCTCTAAGTGTTGACTTCAGTGTTCACTTTTATATTTAGACACGCTCTATTTCTGATATTGAGCACTTTATCCCATAAATATAGCACACCTTAAGAATATATTTCTTCATATATATATATATATATATATATGTGTGTGTGTGTGTGTGTGTGTGTGTGTGTGTGTGTGTGTGTTTGTATGTATGCACGGATGTATTTAATACTTGCATCGGCAGAAAGAAAGAAAAGCAATGCATGTAGACATTTAAAGTTATCTGCAGTCTGGCCCAATGTGAAGAGACAGCCTTACAACCTGCGGACGCCAGTTAACACAGCGTACCTACAACATTTGGGTGATTTATTTCGAATTTGACGTCGGCTGATCGTTGATTAGATATATGTCACAGAGTTAAGTGTGCTCGCTATATTAATTTGAATGTTATTGGCTCAATATCGTCTCTCTCCTAGACAAATTATTGAATCGACTTTATAAGATGGCCGTCTAGTTGTGAAATCCATAAGCACTTTAGATTATTTGGAGTGTGTTGCCCAACTCCCCCAGCACTCCTCATTTCGCCACTCCCCACCCCACACCATCTCTCTCTCTCTCTCTCTCTCTCTTTCTCTCTGAGCTGCTTTCAATCTAGAAGCCTATCTCCCGACATATCCGACGCTATGTCTTGTAACCATTTCATATCGGACGTCAATGGCGGCCGAAGAGGAAAGCGCGCGAACTGTTTAAGGCGGGAAAGGTTGGGAAATATGTGTGCTCGGTCGCACTCTTTACAGAAATCTATGTCCCTCCTCATTCACTGTGTTAACGTTAGTTTCTGAATTCGCTGCATTATTGAGTACTAAATTTAATATGTTTCAGTTACAAAATGTCGTCATGATGCTATATCTATATGCACACGAACAGGACTGCATTTGATATGCTTCGATGCTCTGTAGTGTGTGTTTCTCTCTCTCTCTCTCTCTCTCTCTCTCTATATATATATATATATATATATATATATATATATATATATATATATATATCGGCTTGGATTGAGGAATCGCAGAGCCGAGTTCGAATCCAGGTTGAATCCATTACATTCACTTACGTGCTAATACCCTTGGGAAAGGTGTGAATCCTCTTCTTCTCCCTCCAGCTATGGGTAAAATAGCAGGACAGACTGGGTTCTATAGCCTTGGATGACAACTGGTCTAGGAGAAGGACAACTTTGAATTCAAAACCTGCGGAGGGTCGTTTGGGGACCTTGTGGCACGTAGTGCACCAGGTCTCTGTATTCGGCCCTTCAAAAAGTGTGGATGGTCCTGCATGAGGCCTTCACGGCTATAATCGAATCTCATGTGCCGGTGTCTGGCTGTCAGTTTCCTGGAAACTGATCTGCTTGACCCTCATACGTCGAACCCGACGGGAGAATCGACATTATAATTATTTATTAAAAATATGATCCCTCCGCTACGTAAGAGTTCTCATGTTTCAAAAACAAAAGCTGAAAACTTCAATATAATTATTAAAATTAAATTGAATTAAAGTACCAAGTTCTGTTTCATCTTCAAGTGACATTTTTGGAATAGTTATTTATTCGTACAATAGTACAAAATGCGGCACAAGGCCAAAAAGGGGGTTGGGAAGGACGGTCTTCTCTCTTAATTCTAAACTTAGCTAGTCACAGACACGGACCCAAACATACCAACAATAGTCCTATCACCAAAACAACACATTCACTCCTACCTTTCATACTACGTCCACCATAATACCTCAAATTCATATGAAATCCTAACTAGTCCCCATATGTACATTTCAAAGTCTGTGTGGGTAAGGGAAAAACAACAATTTTAAAACCCCAATGATTATTTACAATATGATTTAATACTATTTACATAAAAGAAAACAAAATAGGTAATCTTGAAATTTACGTACCTTTATAAGCATATTCATTATTAAAATGAAATTACTATGGAAACGGCTAGAGCAATTATTTAAATAAGGGGCGTAAGGGTTAATACTTTTTATCAATCTGGCCACTCGTATTCGAGGATACCCGTCTACTAGAGCGGCTAGCCTATCCCTATTACAGATTCTCGCACATTTGTGTTTGCTCAACACCCACAGAGCCAACCTGTGTTTTATACTGAAACTCTGCTGAGCAGACCTTAGTTACAGTTTCTGTAAGAGATCGTGTTATCTAGCATCATCAAAAAACTGAACAACTCCAACGAACACAAACCCTCAGTCACGATGACTTATGACTTCGTACTAGCACAGCTACTGTCGGGTCCCGAGTGTTCCCTCTACTCAATTTCACTCACAAACCGTGGTATGGTTTACCAAATGTGCCGCACGCTGGTATCGTCACCCTCCAGACCGCTAACATCAGGAAGTCTCTTTCTTGACAAATCGACCATCGTGAGATTCGAACACGGGTTCCATGGTCAGAAAAAGAACGTTCTAAGCACTCCGCCATTTTGTAACACTTCTTCAGAAAGATTCGTTGGAAGGTTTCTTTACACACACAGACATATATATATATATATATATATATATATATATACACACACAATGCTTCAACTCAATCTTCAAGCCTTGTTTTTTTAGCTCCCATATTTTACGAAAATAAAAATATACAAAACTGTCTTTGTCATCAATATATCTGTCTGTCTCTCTCTCTCTATCTATCTATTTTCAATGTTCACTTTTTATATATATATATATATATATATATATATATATATATATATATATATATATAATTTATTACCCACACAAGACAGACATGTTTACGGGGGTATTAAGCCCACACGAATATACACATTTACACACCCCATTCTCACTCACTACCTAATGAGACAAATTATAACATACTCATAGTAATATACACGCTTACACACATCGTATTCACCCACTCCCTAAGAATCAAATAACAAACACACTAAACAGAGACACATCCCCTTTCCAGGAACCAATAAAACTGTGAAAATAACCAAGGGAATTCAGAGCAGCAAGACTCCATCCAGCTCTTATCTTAAATAACAACTTAAAAGAGACTGTTTGTCCAACACAAGGACTGACCAAAATTCATGTTAAAAAACAAACAAAAAAAAAAACAATGGAAAACTCCAGAGAAAAGTTCATTTTCTCCATCAAGACATTGATTTCTGTAGTTCACTGCTACTAAAAAGCAGATTTTTTTTCTCCTGATGATGGCCATGTTGGCCGAAACTACTCGAGGAATCTAAATGAAATAATAATAAAAACGAAAGAATATTAACATACAACCCAGTGTGTCTGATGATTTTTAATTTTTTTAATATTTTTTATTTTTCAATATATATATATATATATATATATAGGTAGATATCCGTAGGTATAAAATCCAAATGAAGACTAATAATGTAAAATATCAAAACTGATCCACAAATAGCTTGATTTATTTATTAAAACAGAGCATAAATAAATTACATACACAAATTTACTAAGGCGAAATTATCATCACCATGGAGTACTTTAAATTCCTGTGTATGTAATATATGTACATATATATAGATAGATAGATAGATAGATAGAATGCAATGGGTAAATTGTCGCCGTTTTTTATTTTTTATTTCGAGCATACAGTTTTTTCTTTTGATTTCGTCGACTGAACGCTTTAGTAGGGTCAGTTACTCGCCGTCTTTGAGAAAAAAAAAAGAGCACCAAAACGCAATTCACTCCGCCAGAAATTTGGAAACGGCATGCTGTACTGCTTGGCATTCGGCATTTCGCAGTGCTCGGGCATCAATCTGTGGACAGTGCAGAAAATTCGGAAAGAGTTGGATGAGTCTAATGGTGATTACGAAATTACAGTAGCCTGGTAAACTCGCTCTAATCCTTCTGATAAGAAATGAACTCCCGAATATGTTGGGTCAAGCGAGTGGCTGTCGGAAGACCCTTGCAACCAGAATCTGCACGATGCCACACTAGCAGGAGAAAACAGTCGTGACTGTCAGATAATTTCTGCGACCACATCACCCATCATATCTGGCTATCTAAATCCCTAAACGGCAAACCGCTTGATTATTATGTGTGAGGCGCAGCTTAGCGAGATCTCAACAAAATTCATTTTTGACACCAATGGTGAAGGCAAAGATTATGACAGCATTCACCAACTTCGCCAACAAAGAGACCGTCCAGAAGAAATACAGGAGATCCCGATGTCGTCTGGAAGTTATGGTTGAAGGTAATGGCGATTTTATTAAATACATTTACTCTTTCGTATTTAAAGATATTTGTGTGTAATTTTGGTAAATAAATCTGTTAAAATGAGATGTCAGTGTTATTTTCATTTTTCCATAATTTAGACGGCAATTTATCCATCGCGCCCTATATGCATGTGTGCGCGTGTGTGTCTGTTTGTCTGTGTGTGTCTATTTCTCTGTGTGTGTGCGTGTGTGTGTGTGTTTATATTACTTCAAATGTTATTATATAGGATATCCGTATTTAAGTAAATGCTCCGTTTATTTTAAACAGTTTATTTCGTCCACAGACCTGCGCATTTGAAAAAAAAACTTATTAAAAATATGCCATCAGGCAGGATTCAAACTATCCCACCGTCTGGATTCTACGTGCTTTTAACGCTCGGGGACGAAGAGCTTCACAAACATGCAAAGTTCCATTTTGCCTTTGAAGCAAATTCACTCATTCAGATTTTTCTCGAAACGCGTATGTGTTTCGTTTCTCACCCAAAACATAATCTAAGTAATTTCTAAAGAATTAATGGATTTTTTTTTTTTTTTTAATCCGCCATATTTTTATTACTCGAAACGTTATTTCTCGTATTTGAGTAGACGCTTCGTTTATTTTAAACAGACTTTATTTCGTCTACCGACCTGCATAGTCGAGAAAAACTTCCGGGAATATTTGAACCTGTGTTCCCCTCAACTGAGGGAAACCACCACCCGATTCCGTGTGTTTTGACCCTCGGCTCCGAAGGACCAATAAGAAACGAACCCAGGATAATTCTCTTACGAAAATCGCGCTATAACCATTACATTATTTCATTTACCGTTTATACGATTTGCTGACATTAAAACCATTTTTTTTTTCATTTGGTGAATTACGCTCATAATTACGGTAGGGAGAAAACGATTTTATAATTTTATTTAGATGTTTTAATCTTTTTATATCCACCATGAATCGGACAATTTATTTAATTCGCAGTTTTTCTCCATTAATCCAGAAATGAACCAGTGACTTTCGGTTGTTTAATATTTTCTGATTTAATATCCATTAAACCAGTTTGCGCTCTCGAGAGACATATCTTAAATAGAATCCCAAGTGTCCAATGACTTTATACAGGGCTTGTTGTAGTCTCTACACTGACTATCAAAAGTAACGTTTTCTTTACTTGTATAATTGAGATTATTCGGACTATTATCCACATTTTCATTGCCATATTCATAAGATTTAGGCCGTTGTACACTCCGGCCTTCTTCAGCCGAGTAGAATCTCAAACAGAACCCTTTATTTCCCTCAAGGTCCAGTGGATAAAGGCGTTGGCTAGATCCAGTTACTAGACACAAAGAATTGTGAGTTCAATACCAGGCTGTGTTGAACCAAAAGTTTTATTTTGTTATTCTATTTATTTGAGTCAAAAGTCACATGGTAGATTCTGATTCTTTTACATTCCGTGTCCGTTCAGGCCGTGAAAGATCATAGCTCTCCACAATTTCTTATCCTTTGTAGCTTTTAGTAAACGTTGTCTGTTGTAATGATTGGATTTAAACGTTACTTCTATTATTTACACTATTCGGACTGTTATCCTCATCTTGATTGCCATATTCACAAC